GGATGTCTGCAGGGCTTCGTGTTTGTGTTCCCACTAAATATTCAGCAGCAAAACTGATTAAAGCTGATCAGTAAGATCAGTTTTTTACTTTTGTAGCAATGAAATCCAACAAATTCTTAGTTCACCTAACATAAAACACATTATAAGTACTGTAGATGCCAAAAATCCACATCAGTTCCACTGTACTCATGTTTCTCACTGCAGTATGTAATTGAATAACTGATAATGGTTGCAAGAGACCTAATTCAAAAGGAACACCATCCTTCAGTACACAGTAGTACTTAAGGGATGATATATAAATATATTCATTAAATGGGTCCAAGATATTCATTGGGTAAGGAGTTACTTATTTTCTTTATCACCTTCATTTTCTAGCAAAGCATTACAACAATGCAAATATGGCATTTCATTATTTGAAAGCAATCCATGCTTTTATCACTTCTCAAATTGATTATAGCAATGCTCTATATTATGGTGTTAACCAGTCTTCCCTCTCTCGTCTCCTGATGGTTCAAAACGCTGCTGCTCGTCTTCTGACAAGTACTAGAAAATTTGAGCATATAACTCCACTACTGGCTCACAAGCTCCAGTTCCTTCCCCACCAGAGAGTTGACATTCCACATTCCCACAGTAGATCTAGCCTACATAGCCAGGGATCAACACGCCCAGGTACCCAACCTAGCCTACCGCCTGGCTTACATTGCACTCAACACCTAATTGGTCTACAGGGCAGTGGCACCATGTCATTTCTTCAGGCTGAGCCAAACTAAACCTCATAGGACAAGGCCCGGCCACCAGACGCTCACCGACTAGCTCCCCTCCCAGGTCTGGCTCCAGTAAGGTGCCCTGGTTTCCCTAATCTGGGTGAGGTAGCATAACTTTAACTTGCCATTGTGATTAGAGTTTTTTTAATCACTCTTGGCCTGGCCACTCCCCTGGGACCAATTAGCCTTAGGAGACCCTACCAGGGACTTATGCCCCAGACAACACATTCCCAGGATCACTGGGACACACAGATTGTGTCTGCTGGACCTAGAAGCATGTCTTAGCAGAGGTTTTTTTTTTGGTCTGATATGAAATACATTTGTAAAGGTGAGACATCTTACGTTAGGCATCAGACTCATAAATATTCTACTGATACTGGCAAAAATACATTTGACCCCTCTCTGTTCCAAATATCAGCCATATGATGTTGAGCAACTGCCACTTTTTTTTGCTGTAATTGTATTGGAAGTTTGTCCCAGATTCTATCTCTGCAGCCTGTTAGATTTGAGCACATTAGAGCATCTAGTAAAGGCTTTCTGCCTACAGGCTATGACAAATGCAGCCAACTCCCATCTCCATATGGCTACTAGGGATAATGCCAATGTTCTTGTACCTCTCAGAAAGATGTAGCTGTTTTTACATGTGCCGCACTCATCAGGTGTGATAGAGGCTATGCTGCAGTTAGGACATCCTAGGCAATATTTACTAAGGTTCTGTAGGTAATTTTTTGCACTCAATAGTGAAGCTGTGTATGTTCATATTTACTGAGGAGTTGCAGTGAGGTTTTATGCCGGAGAAAAAGAAGAAAAGCGGCACCACTGAAATTTGGACATTTGGTCTTGCAATATATTTTATTATTCAGGGGCACAAAATAAGGGAAGAGAAAAAGGAAATTTAAACAAATAAGTTTTAGCTATAGGCCTAGATTGAGGGTTGTCCCATGATGCAGAGCTGCTCTCCTCCCCTTTCCATTTTATTTTTATATGCCACCATTACATGTCACTAACTGTGTGTCTCCTCTCTCCCATAGTGTGTCCTCTCTCGCTGTACCTTTCTACAGGTAGCCCTGACTCTGGAGCCCTATGTCTCTGATGAGCAGTCACCGGCCACATCAACTTGACCAATGTTTGATTGTTTGTTGTTTTTCTTCTTCTCTCTCTCCTCTGTCCACTCACCCCAACCGGTCGAGGCAGAAGGCCGCCCACCAAGAGCCAGGGTCTGTCGGAGGTTTCTTCCTTTAAAGGGAGTTTTTCCTCCCCACTGTCGCCAAGTGCTGCTCAGGGGGATTTGTTGGGTTTTCCCTCTGTAATAATAATAGTTAGGTCTAGACTCTAGACTTTACTAGATAAAGTGCTCTGAGATGGTTGTTGTTGTGATTTTGGCACTATACAAGTCAACCTAAACTGAGTTACTGTAGCGTTTGAGTTGATGCAGGCACAGGGAGAACACACAAATACCACACAGAAAGGCCCCAGGTTGACTGGGGCTCAAACACGGAACCTTCTTGCTGTGAGGTAACAGCAATAACCACTGTTCTACTGCATTCTCGGTCTCTACATCTTTAATTGATTTTTGATATCCTTAGACAGTATCCATCAACCTCGGTAACCACTGAACTACATTCCTCCATAGAAAAATCCTTTGTTGTGATTTGGGCCTATACAAATAAAATGGAATTGGTGCTCTGGCATTTCTGGCAGCAGGACAGTGTAGAGATTTAGTGAAGTAGTGTTATAATTAATAACAGAATGAATGAATTATTTCAATACCCGTTGTGTGGCAGCCTGTCGTCATCAGTGTGTGAATGTTATGGGTGAATGGTGTATCACCTCCTGTAAAGCGCTTTGGCCAATGCAACACACTGTGGAAAAATGCGCTATATAAATACAGTCCATTTACTTGCTTAATATATTGAGGCTCTGATTGGATGTAAAGGAGATAAGCCTGCGATGTCCAGTGTGCCGACTTAAGATTTGACAAGCAAATCAACTCTTTTGTGAAATCTAGCTTTTTCCACCTGAGGTTGTTAAGCAAGGTCAAGTCATTCTTTTCTTTTAATGATTCTGAGTTTGCAATCCATGCTTTTATCACTTCTCAAATTGATTATAGCAATGCTCTATATTATGGTGTTAACCAGTCTTCCCTCTCTCGTCTCCTGATGGTTCAAAACGCTGCTGCTCGTCTTCTGACAAGTACTAGAAAATTTGAGCATATAACTCCACTACTGGCTCACAAGCTCCAGTTCCTTCCCCACCAGAGAGTTGACATTCCACATTCCCACAGTAGATCTAGCCTACATAGCCAGGGATCAACACGCCCAGGTACCCAACCTAGCCTACCGCCTGGCTTACATTGCACTCAACACCTAATTGGTCTACAGGGCAGTGGCACCATGTCATTTCTTCAGGCTGAGCCAAACTAAACCTCATAGGACAAGGCCCGGCCACCAGACGCTCACCGACTAGCTCCCCTCCCAGGTCTGGCTCCAGTAAGGTGCCCTGGTTTCCCTAATCTGGGTGAGGTAGCATAACTTTAACTTGCCATTGTGATTAGAGTTTTTTTAATCACTCTTGGCCTGGCCACTCCCCTGGGACCAATTAGCCTTAGGAGACCCTACCAGGGACTTATGCCCCAGACAACACATTCCCAGGATCACTGGGACACACAGATTGTGTCTGCTGGACCTAGAAGCATGTCTTAGCAGAGGTTTTTTTTTTGGTCTGATATGAAATACATTTGTAAAGGTGAGACATCTTACGTTAGGCATCAGACTCATAAATATTCTACTGATACTGGCAAAAATACATTTGACCCCTCTCTGTTCCAAATATCAGCCATATGATGTTGAGCAACTGCCACTTTTTTTTGCTGTAATTGTATTGGAAGTTTGTCCCAGATTCTATCTCTGCAGCCTGTTAGATTTGAGCACATTAGAGCATCTAGTAAAGGCTTTCTGCCTACAGGCTATGACAAATGCAGCCAACTCCCATCTCCATATGGCTACTAGGGATAATGCCAATGTTCTTGTACCTCTCAGAAAGATGTAGCTGTTTTTACATGTGCCGCACTCATCAGGTGTGATAGAGGCTATGCTGCAGTTAGGACATCCTAGGCAATATTTACTAAGGTTCTGTAGGTAATTTTTTGCACTCAATAGTGAAGCTGTGTATGTTCATATTTACTGAGGAGTTGCAGTGAGGTTTTATGCCGGAGAAAAAGAAGAAAAGCGGCACCACTGAAATTTGGACATTTGGTCTTGCAATATATTTTATTATTCAGGGGCACAAAATAAGGGAAGAGAAAAAGGAAATTTAAACAAATAAGTTTTAGCTATAGGCCTAGATTGAGGGTTGTCCCATGATGCAGAGCTGCTCTCCTCCCCTTTCCATTTTATTTTTATATGCCACCATTACATGTCACTAACTGTGTGTCTCCTCTCTCCCATAGTGTGTCCTCTCTCGCTGTACCTTTCTACAGGTAGCCCTGACTCTGGAGCCCTATGTCTCTGATGAGCAGTCACCGGCCACATCAACTTGACCAATGTTTGATTGTTTGTTGTTTTTCTTCTTCTCTCTCTCCTCTGTCCACTCACCCCAACCGGTCGAGGCAGAAGGCCGCCCACCAAGAGCCAGGGTCTGTCGGAGGTTTCTTCCTTTAAAGGGAGTTTTTCCTCCCCACTGTCGCCAAGTGCTGCTCAGGGGGATTTGTTGGGTTTTCCCTCTGTAATAATAATAGTTAGGTCTAGACTCTAGACTTTACTAGATAAAGTGCTCTGAGATGGTTGTTGTTGTGATTTTGGCACTATACAAGTCAACCTAAACTGAGTTACTGTAGCGTTTGAGTTGATGCAGGCACAGGGAGAACACACAAATACCACACAGAAAGGCCCCAGGTTGACTGGGGCTCAAACACGGAACCTTCTTGCTGTGAGGTAACAGCAATAACCACTGTTCTGCTGCATTCTCGGTCTCTACATCTTTAATTGATTTTTGATATCCTTAGACAGTATCCATCAACCTCGGTAACCACTGAACTACATTCCTCCATAGAAAAATCCTTTGTTGTGATTTGGGCCTATACAAATAAAATGGAATTGGTGCTCTGGCATTTCTGGCAGCAGGACAGTGTAGAGATTTAGTGAAGTAGTGTTATAATTAATAACAGAATGAATGAATTATTTCAATACCAATAGAGAGTGACTATAACAACTTGACATAGAAGAAGGTGGAACAGGATATCCGGTTGTACCGGAAGTCTGACGAGGACAGAATGGCTGCTCTATTCTACGGTACATTAACAACAGAACCGGATGAATAGCGAGTGATGTGTTATAGGCGGAGTTGTGCTATCGAGAGAGGCACTGCCTGTTTTGTGCTGTAAAATAATATGAACTGAGGTGTTGAGTTTGGTTAGTTTGCGATCCACGTGAAGTCTAGGGTTTGTTGTTAGCTACCTGCCAGCCGGCTAGTGCGTTATCTACAAAGACCGAGTCACCTGTCATCCGGCACTGCTCGCTACAGCCTGTTAATGGGTAATACATAGGACCTCCAGCCAGAAGACGACTGTTTTTTCCCCAGTATAAGTCAATAACAGGGTTAGCCCGCGCCTAAATGCCCGAACAAGGCCCCAGGATGAATGGTTTTTCTCTCGGAGAGCTGTGCTGGCTGTTCTGCTGTCCGCCCTGTCCCAGTCGCATCGCGGCCAAGCTAGCTTTCCTCCCACCGGAGCCCACGTACTCGGTGCACACCGATGCTAACGGGGTAACTAGCTTGCATTTAACCGAACGGGCAGACTGGCAGTACTCCCAGCGGGAACTCGATGCCGTGGAGGTGTTCAGCACCAGGAGCAGCCGGGGTAACCGTGTTGGCTGCATGTTTGTGCGCTGCGCCCCGAACAGTCGCTACACGCTACTGTTTTCACACGGCAATGCCGTGGACCTTGGACAGATGTGCAGCTTTTACATCGGCCTCGGCTCCAGGATCAACTGCAACGTGTTTTCCTATGATTACTCAGGTTACGGAGTCAGCACGGGTAAGCCCTCGGAGAAGAACCTGTATGCGGACATCGAAGCGGCCTGGCAGGTCCTGAGGAACAAGTGAGTATGAAGCGTGGCGTCATATGGATCAGTAAATGACCTCGGTTGGTGTGCATGTAGTACGCTAGTGCAAGGTCGTATAAAAATGTTTACACGAATTTTAAAAAAGCCAGTTAAATTTTTTATTTTTAACCAAATGTGTGACAGAGCCTCGGTTATTAGCTGAATTGATTTTTGTAGCATTGTACACCCAGCTAAACAAGAAATGTTCTTTTATTTAGTACCAACTAACATGAAGCATGTCTAGTTAATAACAATAATTTTTGACCAGGGTTTTTTTTTAGTGCACAGTAGGTTCGTGCTTACATCTTTTTAACTTGGTTGCTGGCAGCAGGTGTGCCAAGTGGTTACCTGTAGTAAGAGGCATCCACACACGTACCTTTCTGAAAATTGCAAGCTTCCTTACAGAATACAGTCCCACGACCATCATCAAAGCCATATATTACCAGGACTATATACAAAGGGAAAAACAAAGCAAAGCTAGCCTATACATCACACCAAATCATTTTGAAATCAAGGATTTGAAGGAAAATAAGCACTACAAGAAATTATGATGGCGCATACAGTATTCATAAATCAAAATGTTTCCATACTGTGGATATCTTCTGTTCTGGTCCTGATGCTGGTGCAGTGCAATGCACACAATGCACTGCCGTGATCTCCAACAAAGCCACGAGCTTTGCGATCTCCTTCCTCTCCCCTTTTATCTCAAACACATGTTCAAACATCCCACCAACTTTGAAGCACTTCCTGAACCGGTAGCCCAGATGAAGCTTCAGATGTCATCGGTGACGTCACATAATGCAAGCCTCTACACAAAGGTTCACCTTGTGTTCCCCTGAGTACTCGACACACGCTTCGAATCCTCGCTGTTCACCCTGCCATCACTAGCATTATACTAGGGTTTCACATGATGAAAAAACACGAACACTACAGTGAAAACATCATGTAAACCATCATAGGACCCGGTGAGGTCAAAACTGCTTGGTGTTTTTACTGAGATGCCCGATAAAGTAAAGGCTTTTTATCATATCCCTTGCTCCACCTAACAGTGCCTTAAGTATTTTCTCTCTTTTCTATCTTTGCATAGTTCAACTTCAAGAGCCCCTTAAGGTTTCTAGATTTGCACTCTTAAGCTGTGAGCACGAGTCCTTTTTTCTCTTCTCCTTTAACCATCATAGGTCAGTGGGGTGTAAGACAAAACTCAGCATTGAGATGGTTAAGGAAAGTGGTTCACATGCTGTTTCAGAAAAGGACACAGGTCAAATTTATCATTTAAATTACTAGGGGACATGGCATTTAATGTGAAAGTAAGATATTGCTTTATTCATCCATTATGAGGGTCAAACTATCATGTGAAAATTGCTTTTATGATATTACTGGGAAACCGAGTTTCCCCTTAGCAGAGGTTTGCACTCTGAGCACAATCTAGTTTTTTTTTTTCTTGTCTTTGCTACATTTTAATAGTATTGCCTGTATGGTTGATGCTTTTCGTGTGTAATGTCTGTTGTTCATTTATGACTGGATTCAGAAAAATAATTATAGAAAGATTTGGCATGGCAAGCCAGAAATACTTCAGATGATCATGTAGTACTTTATTTTGAGGAAAAGTCTTGCAAGCAAGAGTTTGCGAGGCATTCATAAACCGAGTTGCTTCCGCATAGAAATACTAGAACATACATACAGCTTATTTTTTTAGCTTTAGGTCACATCTAAGATGATAATTCACTGTTGTAACATTGTAGATAAGTCAGAAAACAAGGAAAAGCACCATGGGCTCTTTAACAAGTGAAAGACTCATTTTCAAATCCTGCTGCAATGAAGTTACAAATACAAAGTGACTGCTGTTGAATGTAAGGATGTTCTCTCAGCCAATCACGTGACTCGATGAGCCAGCGCTGCTGAAAGCGCAGTGTGAGGCAGCACGATTACTGTGATAGTTATATTTAATGGCTTAAGTGTATTTACCATCCTGGTCATTTTATTCATGTAAACTATTTGTGTTCATTTTCTGATGGTGTGATGTGGCTGTGTCCATGGACCTGCAAGGTGCAAACTACAGTGGAAAATGAAATGTAGAGCATCACAGTGTGAGATGTAACTTAATTGTTATTAAATATCTCTGACACTGTGCAGTATGGCCAGTCATTACAGAGAGAGAGAACTAGGAGCTGGTCAGGTAGTCTGATGACGATGGGGGGCATTTCACTATAGTTGCCTTCCATTTGTCCACGCCTGCATGCCGTTTGTTGTTGTGGCATTAAAATGAACAGTGGCCACGACCATCAAAAAAAAAAAAGTCAAGTGTTTGTCATAGGCACAGTAGGGAAACATACAAAATATGTTCCCTGTACAATGAAATTCTTCCTTTGCTGTCCACAATGATGCCAAACAATATAAAGTCTAAATACAAAACAGATAAATAATAGCACAAAATAAAGGCAAATTTAAAACAGCATGTACTACGCATGTAAAACAGTCTGTTCTGACATGTTAAATGCAAACAGTGTTGCTGACAAACATATTGGGTGTTTTTAACAGACTGGAGGATGATTTGAGCTTCGCTGTGTTCACTCAGACCAGGACCAGTGCACACACTTCTGCTTTAGGCAAAATCCACCTCTGCTGCCCTCTGTTCATAACAGCACACAAACACCAACATGGTATACACATAATGCAAATAGTCCAGTGCTACTAGTGTGCTCAGTGTCAGCAGTAATAAAGCAGCCTATGCATGGCACAGTATGAGAGCATTTTGCAGGTTCATATAGAAATGCACGGGCACTGTGAGGAACCTTGGAGTCATTTTGGACAGTGATTTTAATTTTGATAAGCAGATCAGATCCATGGTTAAAACCAGTTTTTATTATTTGAGGCTCTTAATGAAGGTGAAGCCTGTTTTTATCGTATGCCGATTTAGAAAAAGCCATCCATGCCGTCATTACCTCGCGTCTTGACTATTGTAATGCCCTCTATGTTAGAATCTCTGTCTCTTCTCCGGAAGCTACAGCTGGTTCAAAATGCTGTGGCTCGACTGTTGTCAAATACTCCTAAGTTTGCCCACATCACCCCCGTGCTTCGCTCACTACATTGGCTGCCAATACAGTATAGAATTAATTTCAAAATATTACTGTTTGTTTTTAAGGCCATATATGGCCTTGCTCCGCCATATATATCGGATCTTCTCTCCGTCTATGTGCCACGCAGAACCCTGCGCTCCTCAGAACGCCTCTCCCTGGTTGTTCCTCAGGCTAGATATACAAAAAATGGGGAGAGCGCTCTTTTGTTGTGGATGGCCCCAGGCTTTTGAACTCCCTACCGCCAGAGCTTTGGGCCAAAACTGAGCTGACGGCTTTTAAGTTGTGGTAGTGGGAATGGGCAGGACCCAATAAAGATGTCTGGAGACCGGGAGTAGCTTTGAAGAATTCTTTATTTCATGCAGCATGGAGAGAAGTCGTACACAGCCTTGCAGTCGCGCAGAGTTCTCTGCGTGACTGGTAAAGGGGCAGTCCCTTTATACCAAAGTGATTCAATACACATCTATAAAACTCATACCGTTGTCTCACATCTAACAACTCGCATACCATCTCCAGCTGCCTTTGATGTCTGCACCTCTCCGCGACCAGACAGCCAATTCACATTTTAACAAAGACAAATCAGCTTGTTTTGCACTCACACACAGACCCACTTAACATATTACAAGTTCTGCTTTATCTTGGGATGTCCTGCAGAGTCCAGGGGCCCAACATCCTGAGATGACCACCTGGCCAGTTTAACATACAAATTAACAACACACACACACAGACACACACAGACACCAGGTGTAGATCACATTCCAGCAGGAGGTGTGAGCTCCGGCTCACCAAATGACCAGACATCCACAAAGTCAACTCTGAAAACTCATCTTTTTAGACAGGCCTTTGGTATTTAGCTCGTCTTAATCTTAACTCGTTTTTAACTTGTTTCCCTGTTTTATGCTGTTTCTTATTCTGATAGGGATGTTTTTTTTTTTTTTTTGGGGTTTTTAATACTTTGTAGTTTGTTTTGTATAGGTTTTTGTTTTAGTATTGACTTGTATTAGTGTGTTTTGTGAAGCACTTTGGGCTCCTGCCGAGTTGTAAAGTGCTATATAAATAAACTATTATTATTATTATTATATTTACAGTAAGATGTGTAGGGTAAAGTATGATGTACAACAGACTATGGATTCAAATTACAGTAATGATAGGGTACATTAAGATTATAGAACGCTAGTGCAATGGGATGAGATGGAATGACACTGCAGAATTAGAAGATAAGTTACATGACTGAACAGTTCAATGGATGTAAACAGTGCAAAGATAAATGTACAGTATCTGCATATGAACAGTGTGCAAATGAATAACGGAGCAGTATCCTGTGACTATGTGCAAATTAACAGATCTCTTCAGCGTTCACTTTAGTGTGGGGAAAAAATGAATTATTAAAAAATTATTGGTAATGTCTACTGCAGTCATTCTGCTGTCTGCTACTAGCCAAGAAACGAGTAGTCATACCTTGCTGTCATGTTACAGTCGTTTATATAAAATGTGAAATATTATGGCCTCACTCGGGTGTCAATTTTTCTCTATGGTTTTGAAAGTGGTATCAAATATTGACATTTTTCAAGGTATCATATCAAAGTTAGACCAGTAAGAGTGGGTCTTTGACTTTTTCAACACCTGTTTACCTTCTTATTCCTGAAATGACACTGGAAAGTCTGACTGATCTTTTCTTTTGAAAATGAATCAATAATTTATTTCACTGACACCAAAGGACCAAGCGAAAGCAAAAGTAGGCTACTTACAGTGAGGAACAGAAGTATTTGAACACCCTGCGATTTTGCAAGTTCTTCCACTTAGAAATCATAGAGGGTTCTGAAATTCACATTGTAGGTGCATTCCCACTTTGAGAGACAGAATAAAAAATAAAAAAAAATTCAGGAAATCACATTGTATGATTTTTAAAGAATTTATTTGTCT